TATTATACTATACAGAGAGTGTGAAATGAAAACAATAATAAACACATTAATCACAGTACACATATACCTTTGCAGTGCAGCACGGTATGAATTAGTGCAAACAGAATGTCAGGGTGCAGAATAATAGTGAGTCAGAGTCCAGTAAGTGTAAGTGATAGAGTGCAGTGCATATGAGGCTGGTGGGGTGTGTGTGGTGTTACTGGTACAAGTCCAATTCAATCTGATTGCCTGTGGAAAGAACTTGTCTTGGCTCTGTAAAGGTTCTGCGATAACATCTGCCTGATGGTAACGGTGAGAGCAATCCATAGCTCGGGTGGCTGGAGTCTCTGACGGTCCTCCTCACACATCACCTGGTGTAGATGTCCTGGAGGGACAAAACATGTATTTAGGGTGTGGTAAATCAATAAACAATACAGTATTTTTATTTATAATTGTTGCACTTGACTTACCATTGGTTCTAGCTGGGAGGTTGTTGGAGGTATGGGCCAAAAGAATCCCTCCACAACTATCTTGCAGTTGAGAAGTTGAGAAGTTGAGAAGTTTGCTTTTATGGGCCATAACATCTGAGCTGTCTCAGTAGAGCTGTTTGCGAATGCAGTCTTCACAGCAGATAACTGATGGGTTCAGGCAGCAGTGCTGCACTTGGTGGCCATTGAATTGATATCTTCATCAACTGGCTACATCCTCCTTCAAAGAAACAGACAAAACAATAAGTCAATATTAACTCTAGAGAAACAGTGTTGGCGAATACAGGTGCAGGTGTCAGTACTCAACATATTCAGTAATTTCCTGCCCAAATTCCAGAGAAGATGCACAGCTGATTTGCTAGGAGCTATAAACAGATGTATATGTGAAAAATGATAACTGCTGACTTGAAGTAACTATAACTGCTGCTTTTGAGAGGTCAACATCAATGCTGTACCACACATTACTGCATTGCTTGAATACAGACATATCAATGGAAATGTGCAAATTTTCAGCTCTCTGTCTTTCTGTTTGGGCACAAGAAGGCCATGTTCATTCTTTATTCATAAGGACTGGTTTGACCGGCTTGCTGTGACTGATTTTCTTTGCGTTTTTGGTCTTCAGCTGTAAAACAAGAAAATATCTATTGACCCCATGTTTAATTATTACTGTTGTTTAATCATAAATTAAGCCGTTATAATAGTAAACTTCAAGCTCAAGTTCCCTGGCAACTCTCGCAGGCTCCTGAGTTCATCTGTATACATCAGATTCAGAGTCTGAGAAAAGGCCAGCATGCAAACTCTCAGTTTCTACCTTACAACAGAGTACAAAAAAATGTGTAAGTGAGTGACAGAGTAAAGGAATAAGATGAAGAGAAATAGGCAGAGAAAGGAACCATTTTGTGTGTAAGTTTAACAGAATGAAAGGAAAGCAGCATTAGAAAAAGCTGTATTCTTCAATAGCATGCTATATTAATATGAATTATTTTAAATATGATTACATGCTGTCGGTATTGTTGTAAGCAGTTTAAAGGCCTCTTCACACCAAGAATGAGTCCACACTGCAGCTATTTAACATTTAAGGACACAGAGGAACAATATCATTGGAATCTCTTTCAGAACAGATTTTTCCAGCTGTTGAACAATAAAAACGTTGACAACAACAAACAGCAGACAACAACATTCTGTAACTGCAGCGTGTATAACAGTAAACGGACCATTATTGTCTGTTGATGTGGAGGCTAAAATATTTACCATTATATTTCTTGTTCTTGGTGTAAACACCTTTAAGTGATCTGATTTGGCCAAATTAATTGAAGATCTGATTTATCACATGACAAGGTAAACTTGTCATTTCCAGACTCTAGCTTCTTAGACAGATGTGTTCAATAAAAATCAACACGGAAAGAAAGGCAGACTATGATATGTGTGGACAGATATCATGTACTGTTAGAACGAGAAGAGATGGTTCCAATTTATTAAGGTTAATAAAGAATACAATGGACTTAATATAAACTTTATGATACAAACACTCTGACTACTTACAATGGGCACAATCTGCATGAGAGTTGAAGCAATGGCTAATGACAGCAGGAGTAAAAGTCGTAGAATTTTACGCTTGTACAATATCATATGAATTTGCTGACTTGGTAAACTGTATGAATTATTACTAATTCTACATGACACTTTGTTGAGTGTTCTTCCTGATGGGCTATGTAAACCAAAGTCAAAGAGACATTAAATGCGGTGCAAATGTAACTGCAGTACAGTTCAGTCAAGGTGCTCAGACCAACACAGACGTACCGTTGGAAGTGTTTGCCTTTGCAGCTTTTGGTCTTCTCTGTAAACGCACAGTATGGCCAAATTCAAATCCCATGACAGGCCTTCCTTTGGTCTTCCATTTCAGCTGAAACAAAGAGAAATATATACATATTGAGACAGTGTGTTATAAATTATCTGTGACCAAAATATTTGAGAGGAAGGACTATAAGGAAAGATATTATCAACACATAATATAAGGATGCGTTCATTAAAGCAAATCAGTTATAACTAAATGTGTTCAACAAAACCTGTAAAGGGTTGAACCTTTGAAGGACTTGTTCAGCCTCCTTGGCAGATTCTTCAAGATCAGCATTGGGAGCTTTGAGTTCAAGTTCCCTGTTAATTTTAGCAGCTTTCTGAAAATATGCCATGATGAACCACAGAAAGAGAGACTACTATGTGTAAATGAATTACGGATTACAGTTTGGAAAAATAGTAAAGGAAAAGCTGAGAGAGAGAGAGAGAGGGAGAGGCTTCTTTAAAGGGGTCATATGATGCAATTTCAATTTTTCCTTTCGCTTTGGAGTGTTACAAGCTCTTGGTGCATAAAGAAGATGTGTAAAGTTACAAAGACTAAAGTCTCAAATCCAAAGAGATATTCTTTATAAAAGTTAAGTCAGCCATGCCTACCTAAAACAGCTCGCTCAAACACGCCCCCACATATCTACGTCACTATGTGGGAAGATTTGCATAACCCCAAACCGCCCAAATGTTCATGCAAAGAAAGAAGGCATAACTTTTATTCTCACTGTAATATTGCTGTTGCCGCCGCCATGTCGTAAAGGTGCTGTGTGTTTCGTTGTGAAAGCGAAACTACTTTGTTAAAACAACTTTGCGTTATGTATCGCCGGATCGGCTTTCACCGTGGACGAAGCGGAGACCAGCCCGTGGTCAGAAAAAAACCCACTATAGGTACCTGTATGGCTCTTTACTAAATTGTATCTAGAATATTGCAGGTCATACCTGCATACTTATTTTTAAGTTTTTCATTTGAAGAAATATTTAGACATGATTAAACACTAGATTTTTAAATGTGAAATTTAAAAAGTTAATACTTCCATCCTTTTTTTTTAATGATACTTATATAAGTATACATAATGAATGAAAGCAAATATTGAATTTAACCCCAAGTTTAAAATGGCATTCAACTGCATTGAACAAAAGATTTTTATCCCCTTTTAAGTACAGTAAATACATATGAATTGATATTGACCCCCCCCCCCCAAAAAAAATCTCACTCCAAGCTGAACTTAAAAGTTGGCAACCCTGCATTACTATGGTAAAAATATGGTAAATGTGTGGACTATTTTACGAGAGGGTACCTGTATATGTGTCTTGAAGTCATCTAAAATCCATCTTTTAATGCACTATATCGCTGGTCTTCTGTGGTCCGTGTGCAGTTGTTGGCATTGGGAAAACGATCGCCCCTGCTGGTACTCCAGTGGTAACTTCACTTTCATACATGCGTGCAGTGATCAACCATGTGGATGGATGACAACAGCCTTCTCAGCCTACCAGTAGGCGCAGCAGGCCCCTTCTGGCCCATATCTACGAGCTGATAACCACTGATAATGCCCATTCAATCGACTGATAACATTCGAAGCGGGTGATTTGTGCCTGAATACTATGCATGTTAGAAAACACTCTCTGTTTTGAGAATGCCTTACCCCTCCTTTCTCACTCTTTCTCTCTCCTTCTCTGAATCACCCCTCCTCTATCTGTTCTCTCTCTCTCTTGTATGGTGTTTGAATGTCTCTTACTCAATATTCAAGGTAAAGGAGTTTGTGCTGATTTATAAGGGGGGTTCAGCCTCCATCGCCAGGAAGTCTATTCCTTATAGGGATATGTTTTTCTGTATATGTGGCAATTTTATACAAAACACATGTTCTTGGGAAAAACATCCTGTATGGGTATGTCCCCCTATCCTCATTGGTTAAGAGGGTAAAAACTCCCCTCGACATGCCTATATAAGATCTGTATTTCTGGGAATAAATTGAAGTATTTGAGAATACCATTTGAATGTGTGTTTTCTTACTTCCCGGCCGTATTTATACACTTGGAGAGACTGCGAAGATTTCACGGTGGCAAAGAGATATCGAGGGACCAAATTGTTATTTATTAACAATGCAGTAATGGGAAACCAATTTGTAGGAGATGCCGAATAGACACATGAAACCAGGGCTGGAGTGGGACTCATTTTCAGCCCTGGAGTTGCATGCCTTAGACCGGCCCACTTTAGTTTACGACTGAGCTCTTAAAATAATTAAAGGGGTCATATGATGCGATTTCAATTTTTCCTTTCTCTTTGGAGTGTTGCAAGCTCTTGGTGCATTAAGAAGGTCTATAAAGTTGCAAAGACTAAAGTCTCAAATCCAAAGAGATAATCTTTATAAAAGTTCAGAGTCAGCCACGCCTACCTAAAACGGCTCGTTCAAACACGCCCCCCACATATCTACCTCACTATGTGGGAAGATTTGCATAACGCCGCCCAAATGTTCACGCAAAGAAAGAAGGCATAACTTTTATTCTCGCTGTAGTATTGTTGACGCTGCAGCCATGTCTTGAAGACACTGTGTGCTTCGTTGTGGAAGCAAAACTACTTTGTTTGGTCTTCCAAAACAGGACGATATCCACTTCGTCATGCCTAGAGCTTATCTGTGCTGGTCACTGAGGGAATACATCAACTTTCACCGTGGACTAGTGATGCGTGTGTAACCAAAGAAAAGGGGCGGGTCCCAACATTTTAGGTGGGTGAGAGGAAAAAAAGTCAGAAGAAGCGATGACGGATGTGAGTTGTGCATGACCGAACAGCTGTTAACTGTAACAGTGATACTAACGAGCAACTGAATGTTGCTGTTGAGCAAATGTGAAGACTGGAGTTACAACAACTTGTATGACTTGCGTGTTTTCATTTAATTGACTTTTCCCGGGATTCGGAGTGAGTCGCGGGAAGAAAAATGAGACTGCTCGGAGAGCGTGAGTGTGCTGAGCCATCAGGCTGGATTTACCGGGGAAAACCCTCCACATCAGCGCCTTTCAGGGAACACATAAGTTTACCCTGCCATCGAATAACATTGCAGGATTCGACTCAAGTAAGATGTTTCCTTCCTCCATCAGAAACCAAAAGTTTTAACGATCGGGAGAGATTGCATTGCGACACTTGTTACACATTTGAACTGTTTTACAAGTGGACTGCGTTGGATTTAAGAGAATTGAAAATACAGCCTCCACAGCCTAATTCAGCAGCCTGCGAGTTTTGAAAATTGTTATTTAGGAAATGCAGGAATGTTAATTTGAATAGGGTGAAATACACCATGTAATTGGGTTAAAGAGATTTTTTTGTTGTTGGTTGTTTGTTTGTTTTCTGAAATGTTGAAATGTTCTCTTTAAGGGAGTGTTTATTCCAAACTGGGAAAAAAAGCTGAATTAGCCCTAATTGTGTATACACTGTTTACTTAAAAGGGCCCAAGGGATACATTTGTCATTATTTTCTCAGTTATATTTGTTTATTCAGTGTTGATTTTCTCTGACTGATTTTCAAGATTTCAGGTTAAGATGACTAAAACTTTCTTTTAATTTTTGATTTCCAGAAATTAAATAGTTGATTCTGAACCAGTCAATTTACTTTGTGAATATTCGTCTTCTTGTTACTGCTGGTAATTTGACTTTAGGCGATTGTTGGTTCTGGGGTAGGGGCGTTCCCTTCTATGCTGCAGGACATTGTGAGGTTGGGTAGATATTTGATGGTGTAGGGCTTTCTCATATGTGCTGTAAACTCCAGGTTAGGCCCGTGACAATATAAAGCCTGGAGCCCTCCTCATTTTAGCCCAAATATATTAAACAGAATAGTACGGAGCGTATTGAATTTGGAGGCAAGGACAAAGATCCTTTGTCACCATTCATCCAGAGCCACAAGATATTTAACCCCTATCAAGACGGGCTTAAGTACCCGTTACACGTGGATGGCGGTTTTATCCACGGATCGGGTTGGTCGGGTAATAAAAAAATGCATTCTGATTATTCGCAGGTGGGTGGATAAAATAAATCATTAATGATGCAAGTATTAACGACATTTTCTAAATTATGAACGTGTTTAAAATAGGCTACAGAAATCTAATAAACTGTAAATTAACATTAAAAGTTATTCAACAAAACATTATTTAGTCAAGAGCAGTAAGGGATTTTCTCTGTCTTTTGTTGTTTGATTAACATTAATAAAAGACGGCACAGCTTTATTAGGCTGCTGTCACAAGACCTATTTCACGGATCCAATACTGATACCCATGCGCTTTATTTTGCAACTGTTTACATTAACTTAAGACAAAACCGACAGTACTTTCTCAATTTGGTACTCGCAGTACGCGCTTTGGATGTGACTGTGAGCACACGCGCCTCTGGAAAGCGCGAGTACCGAATGGCTGAAAAAGACGTGAAAATAATACATTTTTGTGATGATGCAACAATTCTGTCAACTGCCCCGAAATGCGAGCGAAGTCTTTTTTTTTTTTTTTTTCAGCGCTGTTTTTGCGCTTTATCCATTTTTTATCTATAATTTTTTGCTCGCATATCTCCAACAACTGAGTTTTTTTTTTTTTTTTTCTTAGCAAGGTGCCGCAAATGGAAAATAAGGGACAATTGTGATTCTTACGGGGAGATACTGCAGGCAAAAGCATTGTTTTTTCATGCAACTGTCAATTTTGAGATTTTGGGCTTTTTGGCTTTTCATAAAGTGTTTTTTCAGACTAGTGGAAAGAAAACATCCAAAAGACACTGTTAAGTGTTTATTTTATAGCACTTTATCTATTTGTGTCAATAGAGTTCAATTACAAAACATATCTTTAAAGGCCGTTTTCTCAAAATTTGTTTTTTGTCCTACACTGAGCCATAAATCTCTGCTTCAGTAGCACTTACACACACCAAACTTTACATCTTTATTCCTGTCTATATTCTGAAGGTTTTTACACAGGGATTTTTTCATATATAATTTGCTTGATTATATACAACATTTTCCCCCCAAAATTTTGAAAATATATTGTTTTCTGGCTGTTCAATTATGGAGTGACAAAAAGAGATACCCAAAATTCCCTCTGTAAAAACATTTCTAAATATGATGTTTAATTAATTTAATAATTAGTAGTTATTTTTTTTACCCTATTCGCCTGCAGTGTCTCAAGAAAATAAGGGACAGAATAAGGGACGCTCAAATTATTTGTACTGTACCATAATGTATGTCTGCCTGCAGTTCAAAAGTTGTCAAAAATAATCACATTTGTTTTGCTTAACCTATTTATGCACATTTATTCTAAAATAAAATAATAATTTTAATGTCATACAAAAAAAAAGTCATCGGCCTGAGTAAATAGTACCATTAAAGAATTGTGACTGCACAAGTAGTGTAGGCCTACTAATTTAGGAGGGGAAAATACTGTGAAATTACATACAATTGCATGAAATTTGAAAGAATTACAACTGAAGGTCTATGAAACGTCAGTCAATAAAGCATTTTTTTTAAACAATGACACTTACATTTTTTTAACTAAAATATTATTGCAACCATATGGCTATAGCCTATGAATGAATGAAAATGCATATTTTTCAATTAAAGAAAACTTAAGAGAGTGCAGCCTACTTCTGGTGCTTGGATTTGTACTTCAAGTTTAAGAATGCACTAGAAGCTAATTTTTTTTTAAATGTATTTCTCTCTCTCTATTTAACAGCAAAAACTTACAATAGTGAAAGACATCTTTCCTCAGGTAGATTGAATGTTTTCCTGCTTTGCTGGATGTTGGGCTCATGATCAATAAGTTGCATTCGCCCAAACTGATTTGCCAAAATCAAAATGCAGACAGTGACGGGAATTGACGTTAGCGCGAGTCCCGTTTGCTGTGAAGCGGGAGCAGCCGGCAGAGGATTCCGCTTGGACTTAAAGCCTTTCTTGAGCGGCTACATTCACAAATAAAACAATTTGCGCACAAAGAATGATTAATTATCAATTGAGAATGTGTTATTCATATGGTCCGGTGGTCATATGGCGTGCCTGCGAATACGGGACAAATTGCGGTAGCTTTCATACGGGACGCTTTGATACCTTAAATACGGGCATCCATATTTCAACAGTGGCATGACAAGACCGGCCCTCACGGCCAAAAAACAGACCGGCCCACCAGGAATTCTCCCGATGCTCCCGATTAGCCAATCCGGGCCTGCATGAAACAGTGAATGAAAAATTATAAATGATCAAATGATGATCTCAACTGCCTCTGAGGTGAGTGAGATATATAAATAATTTAGTACAGCTTTTAATGTGGCATTGCATCACTACACAGATTTTGGAGGCGGCACAGAGTCTCCTCAGGGCAATCTTAATGCATTATTTTTAA